TAATTTTTTTTTCACTTTTTTTTTTTTTTTTCCCCCCCCAAAATTTTCTTGTTCCCTTCTATAACCCTTTACAACTTTTTTTTATATAAAAAAAAAATTTCCTAAAAATTTTTAAAATTATTTTTCCCTTTGGGGAAATTAATTTTTTAAAAAAAAACCTTTTTTTTCCCCTTCTAAAAAAAAAAATTCTCCCCTTTTTTAAAGAAAACCCCTCCTTTTTTAAAATTCATGCGCATTTTTTTTTTAATACCGGTAAGGTTTTTCCGCCCCCACCACAACCCGGAATTTTTTTTTATGAAAAAACGGGGGGCCCCCCCAGAACCCCCGGTAAAATTTCCCCCCCCCAAAAATTTTTTTGAAAAAAAATTTTTTTTTGGGGAAGGTTTTTTTTTTTTTTTAATTTTCCCGCTTTTGGTTTTTAAAAAAAAATTTACATAGCGTTTTTTGTTGGAAAAGGGAAATTGGGCCCCCCTTTTAAACCCTTTTGGTTTAAAAAAATTTATGAAAACGAATTAATTTTTTTTGGGGGGGGGGGGGGGGGGGGTGCGCCGGTGCTCGTGGTACACCCGCCGTCGCAAGAACAACATGTGGTGGCAGTAGGCGATGGATTCTTGTGGGAATGTCAAGAGTTCGGGCTGTTTTTTGGAGCAGCAGTGGTAGCGACGATACGGAGAATCGATTTTTTTGGGGCATGTGCGAATGTAAGAGAGTCAAGATCGCTTTACGCGGCCAAGAAAAATACATGTTGTACACGGCGGTACCGTCCCAGAGAAAAACGGATCGTACTTACCACCGTAGTGAGAAGCCAAACGACATCATTGAAGCAATAAGAGACCCCTGCTGTCGGAGTAGTCACGGTGTTCAAAGTGGGAGGAACATTGATATACCGTTTTTTCCCATATATCTCAATCAAGTGGGGCATGCGAAAGATACATATATGTACGAGTGCCGAGAGCGTAGCGGTCTGCTCTCACGCGTTCGTTCGTGTATGATGTGGCAAGGGCTGCCGTTTGCGCCGCCTGCAACCAATCGAAGCAGACAGCGCCCAACCCCGAAGACCGGCGAATATTTTAGCAGTATGACCCGTGCCTGTGTTTCGTCAAATGTTGAAGTAATTCATTGTCTTTTTTTCGTGCGTCCTTTCTCTCTGGATCATTCCCACACGCAACGTGTGCGCCGGGCCTCTGCCATCACAGTGCACCCTCACACAACGAACCCTGGTGCCATCAAAGGGCACGCGAACGAACCGCGGGTTGGCGGCTTTCGTTTTGTCACGGGAAGTGGACTCATACACACTGCCCTGTTTTCTGTTTTCATTAACTTTGCATGTCATTCGGAAGTCATCATCGTTGCGGCAGCGTCATCGGCCCTCGATCTATGCCGCTCGGCAGTTCGTCGAAGGATATCTCCAACCCAACTTGTCAAGGCAAGGCAGTAGTTCATCCAGCTATCCATCTCGCGCCCCTGAAAAATTCAAAAATTCAAGCAAAAGTGAAAGTATATACCTATACGAAGGCCGATGGCACCCCCCCCCCTCCGGTGCGTGAGTTGTGTGTGCGTGATATCC